GAGGAAAAGATAAGAGAGTAGTCGGGATTTCTCTAGTTCTATAATGTCAAGGACTACACATGGTATACTACTGTAATCCTGATTGTACAGTACATATTAATATTATTACTTATTAAGTGTATGAAAACATAATGAAACTAGAGGACCTCATTATGTAAAGACATGAACAACAGATCAAAATCATTATGGCTGTAAACAGTAATCAGTGCAGTGTAACTCTCTTCAGCACCAATAATAATTAGGCCATGTCACACACACAGATGGCATATATCCAGCAGAAACACAGGCAGGATATATCGCTTTTTACCAATCAGATCTCATCATTTCACTTTTAAAACAGACGTTTGCTTGGATGCTTTGGTGGAAGCAATCTAACCACTGTACCCTGAATCCTTTTGAAAGACTTTTTTTTCACAAGACATTGTCAGAAGCTTTTCTGTTATTTGCTATATTTGTATTTATTTACTCATTTTACCATCAACGTGTTTCATCTGACAGTCTATCAGTTGAATTTGCCGTGCCTTGAATTGCTTTTAAGCTGCGCCTTTGCATTGATTTCTTCCTTTTGATTTAGGTTCCTTTATCTGTCTGCTGCGGGGCACTTTGTCACTTTTGTTTTCTCCATAAATAAAGTTATTCTCGTCACGATTAGTGCCGTTATTATGTCCGATGTCCACAAATCACCGTGGCTATATGTCTGCAACAAAACTGCATCTTCATAATGTCTCTGTCTGCTGAGTGAAAATACTGAAACTTTAAGCAACACCAGAGCAATCCCAGGCTTCGGTGAGGAAGCGTTTTTCATCTGATACCCATGTCCACTAACGCAAAAAGTGACTGACACAAAGCGAGCACAAACACGGAAAGCACAAGCAAGCTGGCATGTATTGTGTCGAGTCTTTTGCTTACCATCCCTAGGCTCATTGTTGGCTAAATGAAAAGAAACAGTTGGTACATGGAAATTAGTCTTCACAGCACAGCACAGGTCTCATCAGGCTGCAGAGGGCTGTGTGAGTGTGTGTGTGTGTGTGTATAAAGAATGAAAATGCTTCAACAAAGATCGGATTAAAGACAATGCATAAGCCTATTCACTCAGACAACCACAGTATCTTCAGACAAACACACAAACACACAGATATAACAACAAAGCAAAGCACTTACCTAAATCTGTTAATGGAGAATAAGCACAGGTTTTGTAAATAAACAGGACTAAATAAGTGGTAATGCAGATATAATGTACTGTAAGCTCTCCATGCAAACGCATGCTGTAAATAAACACAGTATGACAGAAAAGTGCTTGGCGTCATAAACCGCCCGTGCCTCTGTGAGTTACAGTGATAATCGTAGAGATAAATCAATGTGTTTAATTTTACAGATGAGTAAGGACAAAATGAGCGCACACATACGTCAGCACACCTATAACGCTATTCAGCTGCAGGACAGTGCTTACCCTCTACAGCCGGCTGCATTTCTGCCACAGGAAGTGACATAATAGTGTAAAAGGAAACAATCGGAAAATTTTAATTATCAGGCCCCAAAACATAATAATCCCTGCACTGACTCAAGCTGTAATGTTGCAGGCCACGAGGGACGATTAAAACGGCATGTAGGTTGTCGGTGGCGAGATCCAGATGTTGTACAGATGTCGACTGAGACTTCCAGATGTAAACAGTGTGCCAGATTACAGATATAAGTTAAAAACAAACAAAAGGCAGCAATCCATGGATGGCTCAGAGGTTTTTGATAGATAAATTAGGAAGTTTCTGTTATGGTGGATCTGTGAGACCCAAGTCAGGCTGGACACAAAATTGAGTTGAAAAGTTGGGGGTGCCGTTTCAGATGCCCCTGGGC